AAAAAAAAAAAAAAGAAAGAAAGAAAGAAAGAAATCCTGACACATGCTACAAAATGAATGAGCTTTAAAAATTGAAAACAATGGCTGGGTGTGGTGGCTCTTGCCTCTAATCCTAGCAGTCGGGGAGGCCGATGCGGTGGATTGCCTGAGCTCACAGGTTCAAAGACCAGCTTGAGCAAGAGCGAGACCCCACCTCTAAAAAATAGCCAGACGCTGTGGCGGGCACCTATAGTCCCAGCTACTTGGGAGGCTGAGGCAAAAAGTTCACTTGAGTCCAAGAGTTTGAGGTTGCTGTAAGCTATGTTACCATGGGACTCTGTCCAGGGCGACAGAGTGAGACTCTGTCTCAAAAAAAAAAAAAAAAAATTGAAAAAACATTGTCCTTCTAAGAGAAACGCCCCAGACACAAAATAACAAATAATATATGATTTCACTGAGATCCATAGAGTACATAGTTAAAAATCATGGAAGCAAGAAGTAGAATAGTGGTTACCAGGGGGTAGGGGAGGGTGTGCTGTGCAAAGTGCTGTGGTGTCACAGCTCACAACAACCTCAATCAAACTCTTGGGCTCAAGCAATCCTCTTGCCTCAGTTTTTTTTTTTTTTTAAATTTTGTTTTGGCGACAGTCTCATTATGTTGCCCTTGGTAGAGTGCTATGGCATCACAGCTCACGGCAAACTCAAACTCTTTGGCTTAAGTGATTCTCTTGCCTCAGCCACCAAAGTAGCTGGGACTACAGGCGCTCTCCACAATGCCCAGCTATTTTTTGTTGCAGTTGTCATAACTGTTTTAGCTGGCCCAGGCTAGGTTCAAACCTAAGGTGACCAGACGTCCCGCTTTTGGCGGGACAGTCCCAATTTTTAACAATTTGTCCTGCGTCCCGTGGCATTTTTAAAAAGTCCTGATTTTTGGAAAGAATGCACAACAATCCAGAGAATGGTGGGAGAAAGGGAAGGGAATATACGGTTTTTGGCTGCCATGTGGCTATTTCGCTGATATGAGTTTTATATTATTTTGGTTAATTTTATAATGTTAAACTTTATTTTTTTTTATTTTTATTTTTTAGACAGAGCCTCAAGCTATTCCCCCTGGGTAGAGTGCCATGGCATCACAGCTCACGGCAACCTCCAACTCCTGGGCTCAAGCGAGTCTCCTGCCTCAGCCTCCCAAGTAGCTGGG